GTAACATGTAACAGGCTGAATTTTGACTTTTTATTTTTGTATGCCTAGGCACTTTGTGAATTTTTTCTCCATTTATTTATTTATACTTATTAATATATACATTTATATATATAAATACATGTTTTGATATAACATGCTTTAAAACATACATACATTTATGTGTGTTTATATAAATATGTACATATTTTCTATATAACACTTGTAATTGCATTGGTAAAAATATGAATATAATCTTTAACTCTAAAAGTTAATTATTTTCTTTCTGATTGTAAGAGAAATTAGAACATTTTCATGGGCCCAAGGCCCTGTGTCTACCATGCCTAATGCATATGTGGGCCCTGGTATGTGATATAGCAAAACTGAAAATAATAGTTCTTCATGACTGAAGTTTGGCATGCATGCAATTAATCCAACCTCCTCATTTTACAAAGACCAATACTGAGCTTCACAATTGTGCAAGAACCTGCCCAAAGTCTTATAATGAGCTGAGCCTAATCAGATCTGGATCCCAGGCGCCAGTTTCCTGACCTTTCTACTTAGCTACACTGCTTTCTTCTTTGGAGCCTCTTCTTCAAAAGCTGTTTCTTATCCCATGTCCTCCCCATCATAGTTGAGTCATGGGTCCTTGCTCGAATCCATCCCTCTGCTCAGATCTGCGCATCCCTGTTCAGAGGCGACAGCACCTCGTGGGTCCCCTCTGCCAGGGGGACGTTCGCCATGGATGCTTGTCAGTTCATGGTGATAACCTGGTAATCGCTGGCCCATGGGGAGAATCTATGAAAACCCTATTAAGACAAACACATAGGATGCAAAAGACCAACATAGATTTGGGGTTTCCTTTTTAGACACAATCTTCTAAATACAGTCTCATTAAAATGAGCAGCAATGGAAGATTGAGCATGGGTTGGGATGCCTATTTAACACCCTGGGCCAGTACTTTCTAGTACAGAGTTTATATTGGCAGATCAAGGATTTTCTCCTTGGGCTGTCAACCCTTCATCTCACTTGGCACTTTAAAAAAGTCAAACCTCAGTAATTCAGCTGCTGGGCAATCATTCTATTGATAATATACTGCAGAAAACAGTCCAGTATAATTCTAAAGAGTCCCCTCTGGCAACCAGCCTTGATCTCTTTCTCTGTTTATCCAAAGTGTATCTACACATGCCTGAGAAAACTGTAAATCGAAAGATCGGAGGAACAGGAACAGGTCATTCCTGGGTTTGCTTTGTTTTCAGTTGTCAAATGATCCTTTATTGAACTATTTTTCCTCTGTAGTCCTTAGGTAGCTGGGCATTCCATCGCACCCTGTGGGCGTCGCCCATGATGTCGTGAGGGTGGGAGCCATCAACGTGACAGCAAACAGACCAGGCAGTCCCAGTCTCTTTCATGGTTCCAGAGACTCTCTGCCTATCCAGATTGGTGCTGCATCTGTCAGGCAACGTTAACAGTCCCATCCAAAGTGCTGTTTCCACTGGGCTTGATGGGCTTTTGCTTCTCTCTTTCTGGGTCCTGGAGGGCTTTGATGCTTGGGCAGAGGCAGAAGGCACCACTCAACCTGGGCCCGTCTGTTCTGAATGATCAGTTTCACTGGAATTCTTAGAGCTTCCCAGTACCCTGTTAACCTTTTTTGGAGACAAATCCAAGGGTCCCATCCTAGGGGCCAGGGCAGAGGTGGCACCAAATTCCCACTCTTGCACTTCAGATGTAAGACTTGGACTGCGTTGGGTGGAATTTAGGTAACATGGCAAAGGCAGCTGGTGCCAGAGGAACCCGGATGTAGGATGATCGAGAAAGCTGCATGTTGGCCTCTTCTAAGCCCAAAGTTGAAAAAGCTGTCTCCGGCCATCTTTAACTATCATTGCACCGCTAAAAAGTTCTGACTTTATGCCAGCTGATTTTATTGGTCATTATTATTCAGAATGTTTATATGTCACAGGGGGAGAAAGACATTTAGCAAAATATGTTGTGTGTGTGTGTGTTTTTTCCACAGTGAAGACCTTTTGTTTATTTTTGAGGCTCAAAAAAAAATAGATCTGGTCTGTTGAGAGGCAACATTAGTGATCTACAATTGTATTTCCACAGGCTTATTAAGGCAATGATTATTTAACTCATATCTTTTAAAGATATAATTCTAATGTAGAAAACAGAGACTAGGATTTGGTTTTGAACCTCACCTCCAGACTTACTAGCTCTGTTATTTTGGGCAGGATAATTTTTAGTACCTTACCTGCAGAATGAAATTAATGATTCCCACTTAAGATATTGTTTTGAAGAGTAAATAAATCACCTCCTCAAATATTTATTGATCACCTCCAATGTACCAGGCTCTTGTTTGAGTGCTACAACTACCACAGTGAGCAAAACATGAGACTACCATTTTGGGACAAAAAGCTGATGGACTTTTGTAGTTCTTGAGTCATATAAGCACAGTATTGCCTGGGAGTAGGTAAGACCTGGCTTGCTTGTACCTGTGCTTCTCAAACAATTATTCCTCTTGCTACTACACATTTTGAGTTATAAATGAGCTTCTAATGGTTACTTAGATATTCAGCAGGAGCATCTTTAGAGTTTTACAATTTTTCTAACTCATAAAATTTTAGCTACCCGCAGGGCAATATTTATATTTGCTATAAATATTTTGCATGATTTTTACTCTTGTTAATATATACTGTTTATTGGTAAACATAATTTGAATGATACATTTTTAGAGAGGGAGATATGCATCATTTAGTGCCTGGAAATTCCTAATGATATGCAGTTAAGTTATCCTGATACAGGAAAAAACTTCTCCTGAGATTTGCCAATAGCTGAACAGGCCCAGGCACAGCTAGGCACAAAAGGATCTTTTGTCATTGGTTATGCCACTGATGGAACAAGTAGCTCCTTTTTAGCAGTAATGATGCCAGGGATGAAGTAATCTAGAAAGATATTTGTTTTTCAAAGGGATTTTCTGCCTGGCATCATCAAAGCACATTCTAATACTTCCAGGTATGACATCTGATAATCAGTAGCTAAGCTGGGTAAAATAATGATAACCGGGTGCCTAAAGATATTCAGATTTGTTATTTGAACTTATATAACTTCATAGAAAAATGGATGATATTCTACTCATGTTGGAGCAATGGATGAGGAGGTAGAGTTTAGACATTATTTAGTAATAACAAGTCAAAAATAATATTGTCATTTCATAACCCACACAGGCCATCAGAGTCAGCATTATCTTCAGTGTAAACGTTTTATTTGCATGGATTTTCCTTCTATGCAGGAATCGATGAAACTTGGCCTTATTGCTAGCCATATATTTGAATTTTACATGAATGCACCATTGTAAAACTATTGTTAGCAGCTGAATTTGTTGGTGAAATTCCAGGCCGGTGTCATCTGAGGTGACTAGGTTATAGTGAAAACATTTTTTTTTTTAAACTAACAATAAAATAGATCTTTAAAAGGCATACTGTCTCTGAATTAACACACATGTACATTTTGCATGGTTCCCTTTGGAGCTAATTATACTGCTTTAAAACAATAATAGAGAAACAAAGGATAAAGAATTATAAAGCCACCCAACTGTGGACTCACCCACCTGACATTCTGGGAATACCGTTGCCTAACTACTAATGTTTTGGCAGACAGAACAGTCATCTAGAGAAGAATACTTAAGGCAAAAAATTTCCAGGCTTAATATTTCTTACAAATTCTTGTTCTTTTTTATATGAATATAAATAATAAGTTGCTCAAAAAATGTTCATCTTGATCCGCACCATGTCTTTTGTTGAAAAGGCTTACCTGCAACCTGATTCCATTTTGCTACAATACTTATTAGAGTTTGAAAATCGTATCATTCAATTTCCTGCCTTTTCCTTGGATATGCAAACAGTACAGCAGGAACAGAATGAAGATTCCTTCATAGCTGTTATGGGGGTACTAAATAGAATCAAACTTGCTGATGGTTCCGTTCTTTGTTCTGTCATCTTTCTTACTCTCGGGAAACTAACTCTACAATGTTAGAAGGTAAATCTATACCCTGACCCAGTTTTACCTAAGAAGCTCTCTGTCTTTTATAGCTGTCCACCAAATTTCAATACCAAGAGCACTTGACTTTTCTTTCTTTCTACCATATGGAGAAGAGATAAATTTCATCCCCAACCTGACCCCCCAAACTGAGTATACAGAGTAGCCGCTGGTTCCAGAAAACAAATGGCAATGTTCCACCCAGCTTTGTTACATTCTGTCTTCAAACATCATATCTAAATCTATGCATTGCTCGTTCAAACTGGTACATTATTCCTGGGAACTAATTTGGCATTATTTCTAACTTATGGCTGGCACACACAAAATCTGGCATTATATGTCAACATCCTTAAAATCTTCATAGCCTTTGACTATAAGGAAAAAAACGTAACATTCAGACGTTCATGAAAAGACTTCTACAAAAGATATTTACTATGATACTATGATATTTTTAATTAGCGAAAATTTGAAAATCTTACTACTCATTGTTCAAGAACAGAAACTTGTGAAATAAATTTTTGTACATCTGTAAGATGGAATTTTAAGCAGCTGTGATCAGGATTGATATTCTTAGAAGGATTTTTAAAATGGCATATCAAAAATTTTCATGCTACAATTTAAAACAAAATTCATGCATACTATGATTTTAACTATGTATAAATAATATGAATGTTATGATGGAGACCTACACCAAAATATTAACACTGGTTATTTTTATTCCTTTCTTATGTTCCAATTTTCCTCCTATACATCTTCCTATATTATAGAAATGTCTTGTAATAGACATAAATAAAATTTCAAAAATTAAGAAACAGAAGGAAAATACCAATGGAGCCATAGATGCACTCCCTGTTTTTATGCCCATGAACAGCTCTCTGATGTTTCGCTTTCGCTGGGAATTTACACTATCCGCTCTCCAGCTGGAGACCAAACAGCTACTGAGATGCGATGATGAGAATCTGTGTCACCTGGCCTCTGTTCTTTTTCAGCACACGACGGTTTTGCCCTTTATATTGATCGAGATGAGGACATCACACCATGCCTATCCCAGCAGGAGCAGCGGCCTCACCGCCATATGTATCTTCTCGGTTGGCTATATATTATGGTAAGGACAGTGCCTGCTGGGCTTTTGTATTGTATTAGATTTAGCACTGCTAAATTTGGGCACATATTTCATTATGGATATAATCACTAACAGATTCACACTGCGTGCCTCATTTGGTCCAAGACCTGGGCTTTGTCTCATTTCCCCAGATGCTTATATTTTTAGAAAGTATATGCCAAACCTCACACAACAGGAATTTCTTGAACAATCCCATGTAAGCAGTGGTTCTTCCAAGGCTACATTTTTCAACTCTTTTTCAAACTAAATGTTTTTCTTGGACACTGGTTTTATTGCTTAAGGGCTTTTTCACTTGGGATTTTTTATTGTTGCTTTTGTTGGGGAACAGGGGAGTTGCAGCGAATGCAAATAAGGACAGAACAAATGACCTTAGAAAGGTGACTTAAACTTCATAGGAAACAAGAGAAAGTGTCCATTTTCCTGAGTCAGCTTAAAACTTGCTCCAGAATTAGCTATTGCATATAGCATCCATGTAATGGCTTTGTTTTTTAAAATGGGGGTAAATAAATCACAAGAAATCTCCAGTTGGTCTACTGGGCATGAATAAGCCCCAAGTGGGAGATGCCAAATGTATTTGATAAGAGTTTTTGCCTGATGAATTTATTGCACATTAATTGCTGTTCTTACCAGGTTTTAATGTTTCAAAATTGTTTATCATAAGATAGAAAATTTCTTATTTCTCTTTGTAATTCCGAGTCCTCTTTGATATATTAACACACAGAAGAGGTCTCCCCTGCCAACATTTCTGCCTCTCAGGACTCTCTTGCCCTGACTTCTGGGTCACCAGCCCTTCCTTTAGGCCTGAAGGACTGAATAATGTTCTTCCAGTCCCCTGAGCTGCACTTAATCCCATCAAATTCCTGGAGCGCTTTGGGAGGCCCAGTGTTCATGGCGCGTATTTCTCCAGCCAGCGCAGAAATGTAAAATAAAGGTCAGTTCAGTACTTCACATACTGTGTATCAATGTCCATGTAATACCCCAGCTCTGAACAGAAAGGGGATTTGTTTCTAGGAAGTCATGCCGTACGACTAGATCTAAGGGGACATCGGACTATAGACCTCAGAACAAACGTGCAGTAATGTTCATCCCATTTGCCACTTCATTGACTAATCAAAGACCATTTATAAAGAATGAGGAATCTGTGTTTTCCTGGTCACTGTCTAGATTTGTTTTCCACCTAAAACATTAAGTATGAATTTTGTCATATAGAAAAGGTCCATGTTATCAGGGTTTATGGGTGAAATGTGACTGTGAAATTACATCTTAAACATGAAAATGAATGTATGTGGTCTGTACATGTGAACTTCATAGTCAAATGACCCATGTCTTTCGGAAAAGCCATGTGGGGAAGCTACACAATTATTCCAAAGACGCTGCAATGTTCACAACATACCTGGCATTGCCTGTAACATTTGTTTAAACATCAAGTGCCTTTCTCCCCTCCCTCCCCAAAATACATTCTCATTGTTTTGCACTCATATTTGCTTACTTATGAGAGGGGAATTTCCTTACTCTGGGAACTCTGGGTGTATTTCCATGAATTCATTTATATGCCATTAAATTATCTGAATCCTGGAGAGCCCCAGAGGTTTCAAGAACTGCGTACTTTCAGATGGTTTTTCTTCCCCTGTGGGTACAATCAGTCCACGTTCCAAAGAGACACGTGGGAAATACTGTACCACATCGTCTTCATTATAGACCCCCAAGATCCCTCATTAAAATGAAGCATTACTCACGCTCTTCATGCCAAGTGAGGCTTGCCAGCTCTGTGTACTCCCTAAGCAAACCAGTGCTTGTTTGGACATGTATTTGCATAAACTAGCAAATGTTCTCAGATACATCTGAGAAACCTTTCAGAATAGACTTTTTGTTGTTGTTGTTGTTCTGCCCTAGGCATTTATAGTTATGCCAAGGCCTAAACAATGTCCCTCACATCATGTCACATTATATAAATCCAAGGATTTTAATGGTTATCAGAAAGGTACTGGGTTTTGCTCTCTTTCAGACTGTATAAGGGCTGATAAACCAGCAGAAGGTTAGGCATATGAAATCTGTTGATAGCATATGAGGGTCGTGACTAGACATTCCAGAACCTCCTGTGAGATGGGAGAAAGCATTCCTCTTATCACATGCTCATTATAAAATAAATAGATCTCCCTTCCAAGTCTCTGTATGGTTGCGCTGGTCTATACCTCTGAGATGCCTGGCCTGGCTGGCAGTCTGCTTTGCGCTGAGCCCAGCTTTCTCTCCATTTCATAAGTCTCCCTCCCTTTCTGCAGCTGCTCTCTGCCTGGCTTTGGGCAGCAAGTGTTGAGAATGCGAAGGATACCAGCACTTCCCCTCACAGCCTGGAGCCTATTGCGCTCCTACCCTCCGTCGCTCCATTTCCCAGCCCCCGTGTTCGTTGTACCCACGCTCTGTGTCTTGAAGTCATCTCAGACGCCATTCATGGTCGCTTCCAGCTCCTCTCACTTCTCTCTCCACTTACCCGGGGGTCTGGGACACAAGCCCTCCTTGTCCAGTTATGGTGGGCTCCTTTCCTGCACACCTCCCTCTGTCATCGCTTCCCCACACACTTCTCTGCACCCTCTTTGTGGGATTTCCCTAATAGATGGGACACACACTGTCTTACCCAGGATACAGCACAGGGGCCCCCTTGGTTTCCAGCACTTAGCACTTACCCAGCAATAGCACTTATGAGGAATTGTAATGGAGCCCATTCTTTTGAGAGCTCTGCCTGTGCTGTACAAATATTATTGAGCTCCCAAACAGCCGTTCTTGAGGAGGATTATCTGGCCCATGTACAGATAAGGAAACTAAAGCTTAGAGGGATTATATGACTTGCCCAAGGAAAAGCCACTGATGGTGGTGGTAGTGTTGTTGTTGTTGTTGTTGTTGTTGTTGTTGTTGCCAGAACTGTAGTGCGTGCACGCTCTGATGTGTAGCTGCAGAGTCTCTACGGTTAACCACTCTCCACTGCCTCCCACCATGTGAAGAGCGACTCCATGAGTGAACAGATTAAGTGGGTTTTTAGTTTTGTTTCTATTGTGAAGCAATACATCAGAACCAGCCCCGTCTAGTAGTTAAGGCCACTTCCTGGGTTTGAATTCTGATCTCCAGTTAACCTTTAGGGGCTTTAACTTATTGAGGTATAAACTTATTGAGGTATAAAAATAGGGACAAGGATAGTGTGTACTTCCTGGGGACTCAGTTACTTGTATGTAGAACCCATAGAACAATGCTGGCACACAGTAAAAAGTTTCTATATTTGTTGTTATTATTAGTAGTAGTATTATATTTGCAGTTCTGAGAAGCTCCTCAATGAATAGTAGCAAGAGTGCATAATGTTTTTTTAATCAAGAATTTCAGAATTTTAGTTATGATGACGTCGAGTCCTTTTTCTTCCTTTAACTCATCCTCAAAGGGCAGGCTGAGTAGAACAGAGAGCTTTAAGATCATGGGATGCTGACCACTGTCATCCTTTAGTTGACAAACTCTGCAAAACAAGACACCCTCATTTCACCTGGTGCAGGTTCCTTGGCTGCATCCCCACCCCACCCAGCAGCTCCCATCCTTGTCTTCCCATAATACTGCTGTTGCTTACAGCTCTGCTTTTCAATCTGTAGAACACAGAAAGAGGACATGACTCCAGGTAGGAGATCTACATCTCCAAGGGCTCAACAGTGAGTCTCCTCTGTCCTGGGGAGTCTTCGTCCAGCCCCTGGCCATGACCCCTCCCCCATGGTTCTCATCCAATCAGAGCCATGGGAGATCCCAGGGACCACACATAATATATACTACGGCTGACCACCACATGCAAAGCATGGCCAGGAGCAAGGCACCATTAGGGAAGAGAGGGAAAGAGCCCTGGAACTTTGTTCTCATGGATAAATATTTATTGTCACTGCAATGAGCTTCTTTAAAATGGAGATTCCTATTTTCTCAGGGCCCTAATTTTTTTTTTTAATTCCATATTCCAAATCTTATTACCCCACATGTGTTCATTGTACAACTTCCCGACCCAGAAAATAAAACAAAGTAAAATCAAGATAAAGTATGATCTTTCTTTTGGGATATATTTCCAAATTGTCCCAAATCAGAATTCTGTCTCCCACTAATCGTGATTATCCCTCAGCTGTGCAATTGCAGATTTTTTTTCTTGTTGAAAATTTTCTGTACTTCCTCAAACTTCTGCTGAAAACATACATTATTTTCAAAACAGAAAACAATTTTTAAAAATAAAAGTATACACAAACTTAAAAGCCTTGGAGAGAATTTTGAGCCATGAACAAGTAAAATTTTTAGCATAAAATTGGTACCCTTCTTTACTAAGAAAAATAAATTTTATGCCACCTCAAAATCCTCCTTGTTTAGCTGAATGTTTCTTCACCAGTTAAACAAATTGGCCAACATGCAGTTTTTCTGTGACCAGCATGTGACATTTTCCTCTGTTCAACTTGAACACTTCACTCTACCATAGCTGCCTACCCTGATGACTTTTACAGCTGTCATAGTGTGTGAAAGGTTTCCTGATGTTCAGTCATCAGAGAACTGGGACCGTGCTGCCAGAGTAAGATGGTAAGTGTGCATTCTGAGGAGACATCTTTCTTGGAGCTTATAAGAGACAGGCCGAGGACTCTGCCCTCTTATCCATCACCAAAGCCATCCACACTTTTTGCCGCGCCCAAATTTCCCACTTTTCTTGCTTGGCCTGGCTGGGGAACAGAGAGAGGGTCCTTGCAGTCCTGAATTTTGCATCTACAGCAGCCATGGGGGACTAAATGCCTCCCATACTCACCAAAGCCCATTGTAAAAGGCTCCAAGAGAATCCCTGGTAAATATCGGGGTGAAACAGGATCTGATTTAGGAAGCAGACTTGTAAACCTCCCTTGTGTCTCCTACCTGAGCAAGGAAGAGCATTGGAAGGATGAGGCAGAGTGGAGAGAGGGGTACGTGCAGGGTAGCCTGTATCCCATCGTACG